GTTCGTTCGTTCGTTCGTTCGTTCGTTCGTTNTTATATAAATATCTCCAAAACATTAATTAATTAATATCTCCAAAACATTATTTAATTATTTTATTTTATATTAATATTTCTTATTGTTGTTAATTAATTAATTAATTAATTAGTTAATACAAGATACATATAACTCATTGATAGTACAAATACTGCATAAGCATGTACATCATTACTATTATTATTAATATTACTTACTACCGCTAAGTTTGTTGAATGTGATTATTTTTCCTTTCCTTTCACCAATACAGTAATTGTAATATAACTTACGCTTTAGGGAGTCCATGCAATAAATTCACAATAAAATGTGTCTTTGTGTGTGTGCGTGTCTTTGTGTGTACGTGGGTGTGTGGTTATTACAAAAAGGAATGTGTGTACGTGTGTGTGAGTGAGTGTGTGTGTGTAGTACAATCTGTCGTTAAATATCGATTGTTGCTTATGCTTATTTTGATTGCTAAAGCAAGGCAAGCCGAGCTAAATATGAAGAAATTTTATATTACATTCATCAATGAAAATAGCTAGATGATTTCCGATTCATTCATTCATTCGTTCATATATTTCTAACATTATATATGTATATATCAGAAAGACGAGAAAAAAAACTAGAATGAGATAGAGAGAAAGAGAGAGCAAGAAAGACAGAGGCAAAGAAAGTGAGAGTTGTAAAAAATGAAAAAAAAATAAGGAAAAAGTGAGAGAGAAAGAGAGATAAAATAGACAAAGAAAGAAAGAGAGAGAATGTAGACACACGCGTAAATTTAAATTTCCCAGTAATTTAAATTTACCCCAACAACGCAGTTGCGATTGTTATAATTTATATATATATTATTCATCTTCATTATAATTATTATTATTGTTATTATTGTTTTTGTTGTTGTTACTGTTGTTGATGTTGCTGTTATTATTATTTTTACATTTGAGCTATTCAATTCAAGTGTTTGTCGTTCGTGAGTGGAATGAATTAAATATTAAGAAAGTTGAAGCTTGGTTGAATAATTTGCCAAACATCTTTCAAGTGCTCATTCAAGTGATCAATCAATCAATCAATCAATCAACCAACCAGTCAATTAATCATTCATTCATCTATCCAACCAATCTATCATTCGTTCATTACATTTAAAAGAATAGGATTACTTTTAATCATGGATTCAATTAAATAACCATTCTTTCAATCAATCATTTATTCAATCATTCATTCCTTCAATACTCATTCATTCAGTTAGTCATTCATTCACTCACTCATTCCTTCATTCATTACGGTCAAAAAGTGAATAGTTATGTGTGTGTGTGTGTGTTGATGACGACGACGATGATGATGATGACGCACAAAGGCACGTAACCGTAAAATATTTATAAACTTATTTTTAAAATGCCGAAAAATGGAATAAAATGAAGCATATCGTAAACATTATATACACACGCACACACACACACATACAAACACGCGCACACATA